GTGCAAACAAGATGTTGTCTGGAGCTGCCCTGTCTGGGAACAAAGGAGCACACGACCGTCCTTCTCTTACTCACCATGACCACTGGGTTCTTATTTTACACACCCAAATAACTGATTTTTTTTTTCTATATTTGGGACAGACGGGGTCTTGCTCTTGCTCAGGCTATTCTCAAACTCCTGAACTCAGGCAATCCTCCCACGTTGGCCTACCAGAGTGCTAGGATTACAGGTGTCTTGAGCCACTGCACCTGGCCACTTATGTTGTTATATTTTAGTTAGAGTTTACATGGTATATCTTTGCATCCCTTTACTTTTAACTTTTATGTAACATTTTATTTGAAGAGTATTTTTTTCTTTTATTTTTGAATCCCAAAACAGCTTCTGTTTTTTTTTGAAGGGTATTGAAGACTGCATATAGTTGGATCATTTTTAAAATTCTGTTACGATAATCTCTTTTTTTAAAGTGGTGTTTGTAGATCAGTTACATTTAATGTAACTATAGCTATGTTCAGATTTAGGTATACTATTTTAATATTTGTGCTTTTTTTGGATAATTTGAACATTTTTAAGTATTTCATTTTAATTGCTCTATTGTGTTTATGACCATATTTGTGTATAGCTTTTTAGTGGTTGATCTAGGGATTATAATCAACATAATTAACTTTTTATAGTCCACCTAAAATCAATATTTTGCCACTTCAAGAAGAGTATAGAAGTGTTACCACCATATAAGTTTATCTTCTCCCCACCCTTTATGTTATATTATACAGTAGAATTGAAAACCCCATCAGACAGTGTTATAATTTTTGCCATCAACTATCAATTTTTTAAAGAAAAGCTCAAGAGAAGAATAGTCTGTTATGTTTACCCAGGTATTTACCATTTCTGTTGTTCTTCCTTCATGCTTGATATTTCAGATTTCCTTCAGGTATCATGTCCTTCTGTCTGAATTGCTAAACTTCCTTTAGCAATTCTGTTTTTAAAAATAATTTAATCCAGTGATTCATATATTTCCAATTTATTTTTTCTTTTCTTTTTGTTTTAGGGGTGAGGTGTTGCTCCATTGCTCAGGCTGGAAAGCAGTGTAGTGGTACAATCGTAGTGCACTGTAATCTCAAACTCCTGGGCTCAGGTGACCCTCCTGCCTCAGTCTTCCAAGTAACTGGGACTACAGGCATGTGCCACCATGCCCTGCTTAGCAATTCTTTTAAAGCAGGTCTGTGGGCTACAAATTCTTTTGGTTTTCCTTCTCTGATAATGTATTTATTTTACCTCCATTCTTGAAGGATATTTTCACTGGATATAGAAGTATATTTCCTAATAGTTTAGGGATAAAAAAAATCCCAGCAAGGTGCTGATGCTATCTGATGACTATCATTTACCTAATCAGAATACCTGGAAGATGGAGTACTCAGATTCACCAGTCTAAGTCATATAATGACACTTTGACCTCCCCTCTCCCTTGATCTAGCCTTTTTTTAATTATTTATTTTTTAATTAAAAAATTTTAATATTATAATTTATAGTAGAGACAGGGTCTTGCTCTTGCTCAGGCTGGTCTCTAATTCCTGAGCTCAAACGATCTGCCCACCTTGGCCTCCCGGAGTGGTAGGATTATAGGCGTGAGCCACCGTGCCTGGCCAATCCAGCCATTTTTGAAGTCCAACTCTTGAACTTCCAAATTCTGTGAGCCAATAGATTATCTTTTGAACATAATCTACTTTGACTTGGTTTTATGTCATTTGCAGCCAAACATCCTGATTAATACAATCGTGCAGGCATAACAATGTTTTGGTCACTGATGTACTACATATATGATGGTGGGCCCATAAGATTATAATACTGTATTTTTACTGTACATTATCTATGCTTGGATATGTTTAGATACACAAATACCATTATGTTATAACAGCTTACAGCAAGTACAGTAACATGCTATACAGGTTTGTAGCCCAAGAGCAATACAGTCTATACCATACAGCCTAGGTGTATAGTAGACTATACCATCTAGGTTTGTTTAGGTACCCTCTATAATGACTGCACAATGACAAAATCACCTAATGACACATTTCTCAGAACGTATCCCTATTGTTAAGCCACATATGACTGTATATATATTCATGAACAATTCCTAACAATATGTATATTTTAGCCTATAGGTTAATAAAGTTTGTCTCACTAGACAAGACAAAGCAGTTGAACCTATAAGACATGTAGGCTCCTGTTTTTAATAAATAAATAGCTCTTACAAGTAAAAAATATCAATGAGAGGTAAGCCCTAGTGCTTTTGTGTAACAACTTTACATAAAACAGGAAAACTGGAGTAGTGAGTATACATCCCTGCTTCTGATAATAAGAGTAAAAAGAAAAAATGCTATAAGAAAGATTGGATCCTGGTTCCAAGTGAGGACTTCCATTGGGAGGAAAATTCCTGTGCATGGAGGCAGGATAATTTTTGAAATATTAATTTATGTTGTTTATCTTGTATCGTTCATCCCTTGCATCCTCATTTTAGGGATTTTGGTAGGACCCAAAACAGAAGCTGTTGGAAGTCAAGAGTTGGTCCTAGGTTTTGCAAACATTTAAGCTGACTGAAAAGATTATGAAAGTATCCAGGAAAGGAGGGGACAGGAGGGAATGATTTCAGAAGGGTAGGAGGAAGGTGAAGTTTATAGGTTGTGTGATCTAAGGGTACCTGCCCCATATCTTTGACAGCATAGTGGGGAGAGAGCTGGACTCTGGACACAGGGAATCATGTCCTTGCTTAAGATGCTCATGCCCCCAGCCACTGGTCCTGATGAGAACACGCAGCCTGGAGCAATGGCCATCTCTGGGGAAACCAGTGTAGACTATTAAGCCAATGGTTACAGAGCCTCTATGATGCTTTGGTGGTAAGACATCCCCAGACCTATACATAACCCCAGTGATATTCTTTCTGGGAGCCCCAGTCATGACTGAGACTAAATTTTCTGCTGGTGTATAGCAACATGAAGTCTGACTTGAATTAAATGTGATTATGAGAAAATAAAGAAATATGTTATTTCTGCCATACCTGAGTATGCTCTAAAATTCATATTTTGCTTTTGGATAAAGCATTGGAATCCAACCTGGTTCTTTGATTTACCTCTTTTGATAAGTATCTGAAGAGAGAGGCCCTTGCGCAGTCAAGCCATAGTCCAAGAAGAGTCCCCAGGATCTCATGCAGAGCCAATGATATTCCTATCCTTTGGAGAACACAAAGACATTAACTGGTTTGAGTTCAAGAGTAGTTCAGAAAGAATGGGAGTTAATAATACCACTTTATTCTTTGTATTCTATAACCACAAAAAAGGCTTTATTTATTTTTTAAGAGCCTAGTGCTAAAATTGCTTCATTTGATTATCCCGTGTGTGGTTTATCCATTTAGCATACTTGATTGCAAGTAATATAGAATTCAACTTTAATGGGCTTAAAAAAGGAAATGCATTGACTCATAAAATTGAAAAGTACAAAAAGAGGACAAGCAATATACTTGGTTCAATCAAGGTTAGGTTGCATTTTTCTGTAATTCTCTCAGCTCTGCCCTCTTTGATAGGCTTTAAATTCTCAAGTTGGCTTCTTCATGGTAGTAAGGTGGACACCACAGAATATACTTCCTCATTCACAATCAGGAAGAAAGAGAGTATTTCTTTCCATAACTATTGGACCAGCTGGCCTATCTGGGGTCTTGTGCTGCTTCTGAATCAATTATTATTATCACAATCTTGTGTGATAAGGAGGATGGGACATTTTTATTGAATTATACCAATCAGGGCCCACCCCCAGACTTGGAGGCAGTATGAGTCACATTCAAAGCACATGACTGCCACAGAGTGAGGACTGTTGGAATGAATGATTGCATAAGTAGCACCATTTCAAATACATTTTCAAAAACAACTCACAGAAATAAGATGGAAGACATACACTAAATTTAAAGTATCTTTAAGACAATGAGACTGAGAGTAGATTTATCTTTCCCTTACATTTTCACTTAAAAATCTATATCTATATCTGTGCCTATAAGTCTATCTGTAGATATATATCCATGACCATAACCACATATCACTTCTATAATGGAAAAATAAAAACCAGTCCACAAACTTATGGGAAAAAATATCAACAAAGAATGATGCAAAATAGCAAAATGAGATTTCACCAGATATTTAGTATACAGCTAATTGCCAATAAATGGAACAATCTGCAAAAGGAAGAGTAAGAATGAGTCATAATTCTGTTTATCTCCTGGAAGAGCCCTTCTCCCTCTTTAAGGCATTTTATGCTGAAGAAAAAGTTTTAAAAACACTATAATTATGTGCAACATCCTGTCTCAGGACAGCTATTTGGAATATATTTGGGGTTTTATTTGCTGGTTATCAAACAAATAAACTCAACTGAAACTTTTTATGTAGGTCTGGCTTTGCATTTCTGCCTCACATGCACTTTCTATCTGTTTCTGGAACAGCATTTCTTGGTTTCTTACAGCCCCTGTCTCCTAGTACCCTGTACATTATGGGACATGGAGCTGTCACTTGGTAAGTGTCTTTTTTTTTTTTTTGTGGGGGGCCAAACCACGTGGCTTTATTATACACTCGTGGATGAGGTTCTGGGGCCCCAAGAGCGGGGGGCCCCCGGAAGTCGCCCGGTAAGTGTCTTTTTAATGAATGGATGGGTGAATGTATCCTTTATGCCTCAGGATGCCTTTGTGTCTCTCATTCTCACCATCTCTGAGCAATGAATACAAACGACCCAGTGCTGAATAAATTCATCTTGACACTGGCTTGTTTTTTCAGCTGACATCAAACCTTGAGGGGATACAGGTTTTGGCACTGGTCCCCCATGCTTCTTTGTTGACTTCTAAGGAAGGTTTGAGGTCACTCTGGGGTGAGCCACTTGGTAACATCTGAAACAAGAATCTCCCACTTTTTAGGATTGAATGTCAGTAAGGAGTATTCTTTTCCTGCTAGCTCGTCTCCCCATTTCCAAGATTGACATAGGGCAATATTATTTTTGGAGTCAGACAGCAGATGTAAATATGGCTCTACCATTTACCAGCTGAATAACCTTAGGCATTAACCTGTGTGAACTTCAGTTTCCCCGTGTATAAAATGGTGAAAGCAACAGTACTTTCCTTATGGGGTTGCTGAGAAGATCAAATGGAATAATGTATGTAAAGCACATCTGCCCTAAACTGAATGCTGAATAAATGTTAGTCATTGTTATTATTTGACAGACATCTGTTGAGTGTTGTCTCTGTACTAGATAGTGAGGATTTTTAAATCCTTACCACTACACTAGATGGTGGTGATTTTTTTAAAAAGCACCAAGATAGATACAGTTCTTGCCTTCATGGAGCTGGTCTGCTCGGGGATTTGGACATGTTCATAGGCATTGCCAACGTGAGGCTACGAGAGTGGAAGCACAGGGTGATCTCACCTATTTTGGGCTTCAAGGTAAAGGAAGGGTTCCGGGAGAGTTACATAAAAATCGATACAAGAAAGCTGAGTAGGATTTAGCCAAGTAAAGAGAAGGAGGAAGAGTATTTTAGGAACAGCATGTTCAAAGGCTCAGAGGCAAGAAAGATCCTGAAGCATTTGAGGAGTTGAAATAAATTCGGCATACCGAAGCCTATCATGCAAGGTGGGAGTGGTAGCAAGACATGAGGCTGGAGGTGGATGGGGCCATATCATGCTGAGCATTATAAACCAGATTAGGAAGTAGGAAAGGGAGTGGGAAGACATAAAAGATTTAGTCAAGGAAGTCACTTGATTTGCATTTTAGGAAGACTGCTCTGGCTGCTGCTGTTGGGGGTAAGGATGGGGAGGGCAGAATAACTGCAGGTACAGAAACCACTGAAGAGTAGCTCAGAGACTTGCTGTCATCTAAATCAGAGATGACAGTGGCCTGAACCTGGAGGGTAGAAGTGGGGATGGAGAAAAACAGACTGGTTCAAGAGATAGTTAAGAGAAAGAATCAGTGTGGCTGAATGGAGGGGATGAAAGAGGTGGGCGTGATGATCAGAGAACCTGATGGATGGTAGTATCCTTCCACGGTGGGGAACACAGATGGAGAAGCAGGTGAAGGGTGGAGCACTGGGACAAATGATGGGTTTAATTTCAGATACGTTGAGTGGGAGGTGGTGTGGAATACCCAAAGGTAAATTTTTTTTTATTTTTAAGACAGAGTCTTGCTCTGTCACCCAGCCTACAGTACAGTGATGTCATCCTAGCTCACTGCAGCCTCAAACTCCTAGGCTCAAGTGATCCTCCTGCCTCAGCCTCTGGAGTAGCTGGGGCTAAAAGTGCACGCTATCACACCCAGCTAATTTTTCTATTTTTCACAGAGATGAGTCTTGCTCTTGCTCAGGCTAGTCTCGAACTCCTGACTTAAAGCAGCCTCCCAGAGTGCTAGGATTACAAGTGTGAGCCACCACACCTGGCCAAAGGGAAATATTTAATAGGCAGTTGCATAAACAGTTCAGAAGAAATACCTGGGAAGAAATTATAGCTTTGTGAGTCATCACATAGAGTTGATTAGGGACAAAGAAGTGGGTGGTGAGTGTGTCCCCACTGTGGGCAGAGTGAGGAGAAAAGGGCCAAAAAGAGAAACCTTGAGGAACATTGATAAATAAAGAATTAGTACAGATATATAAAAATAAAAAAGAGACTACAAAGAAATGGTCAAGGTGGAATGGGGAAAACTTAGAGAATAGGGTATTACAAAGACAAGGAATGAAGGGGGTCTAAAAGAGGATGAGGCTAACAACAGCAATGCTATTGACTGATGAAATAAGGACTGAGAAATATTCATAGGACTTAGCATCAAAGTCATTAGTGAATTTACTGAGTGGTTTCTGTAGAAGGCAGCACCCAGAAAGCAGTGGATTGAGGAGTGGGTGTATTTGAAGAAGTGGAAACACAAGAGTGTAGTCAACTCTTTCATGGGGTATATGGCTGTGACAAAGAAGAAAGCCGGTAGTTAGACCCTCCCTCCTTTGTAATCCAAGGAAAGAAAAAATGGTAGGTGGAACTCAGAAAACTTTGTGAGTGTGGTGCCAGGAACTGAGAGAGCTCTTATTTAATGGTGCTGATAGTATTTTCTCTATGAAATAAGAGGTCAGGTCATCTCCTATGAGTGAGGTGGTAGGGTCAGAGCTTTGAAAAGAAAGAACCTTTGAACAGTCATTGTGAAAAATGGAAGAGAGAACTACAAAAGAATCACGGGAGGCTTTCTGGACAATACCATTAGCCCAGTTGAGGTTAAGGACCTTGAATTTATATTTGTACCAGCTTGGCAGGCTGTATGATTTTTACCAACAATGATAAGCAGCCCAAGTGTGGGCATGGAGGATTGTTTTTCAAGGTAGGTGCAACAGAAGGTTCACAGGAGAGAGATGAGGATATTGGCAAGTGACTACTAGCAATGATGCAGTATGAACTGTTACCTGAATACATAAGGAAGAGCAGATAGCAGTAGGTTAAATAGGATGAAAGTAGACTGATTAAGGAACAGAGGTCTTTATAAAATAGAAGGATAGCCTCAGTGAGAGAAACTGAGTGAGAAAACAGAAAAGATAGAAGGCTGTGGTCAGAAAGTGGGATATCTGAAAACATTATTTCAGAGGTGGAGCAATCTTAGGTGATCAGAGGGTTCATGATGCAGCCATTGGAATGGGGAAGCTCAAGTGGAATGGGGCAAAGTTCACTGAAAATAAGAACTAAATAAATAGGTTAACTGAGAGACCAGGATGTTAGAAGTATCCATGAGATTGGTGACACTGTGGCAGGAATTGGGGTGGGGAGGACAACAGTGCGCCAGCAGCTAAATTTTTCAATGAGTGTGTTGGAGAGTGACAAGGAGATGAGTAGATGCCAGTGATAAGGACAGGGAAGGTCTAATAAAGCCTGATGGAATAAGCTTTAAATGAACATGAATTTTTACATGAGTGCAGCAAATGGGGAGCAAAGAGGATATAGATTCAACTTTGGATCCTGAGGCAGGTGGACAGGAGACTAAGTATCCCACTTGAGAGTGCTGCAGGTGAAGTAGTTGTCCTCAGAAATATGCAACAACTAGCAACATTGGTTTCATGAAAAAAAAAAGAATAAAAAAAAAAGAAAGAAGCAACTGTCAGGAGAACACAGAGGAGCATGTCAAAATGAAAAAAGGGAGGCCGGGTGTGGTGGCTCAAGCCTGTAATCCTAGAACTCTGGGAGCCTGAGGCAGGTGGATTGCTCAAGGTCAGGAGTTCGAAACCAGCCTGAGCAAGAGTAAGACCCTGTCTCTACTCTAAATAGAAAGAAATTAATTGGTCAACTAATATACATAGAAAAACTTAGCCGGCATGGTGGCGCATGCCTGTAGTCCACTACTCAGGAGCTGATTGCAGAAGGATCACTCGAGCCCAGGAGTTTGAGGTTGCTGTGAGCTAGGCTGATGCCACGGCACTCACTCTAGCCTGGGCAACAAAGCGAAACTCTGTCTCAAAAAAAAAAAAAAAGAAATGAAAAAAGGATAGGAATTGGATTGGATCCATGCCATACTGGGGTCCAAATTCTATGTGTATCACTTATCACCTGGCAGAATCTGCAGAAGCTGTTTAATATTTCTTAGTCCCAGCTTCCTAGTTTGCTTGTAATCGGCATTTCCCTGGCAATGTGGATCCCAGGATATGCATATTAAGAGAAGAGATGATCTCTCCCCACTTTTGTGGCACACTCTGTTAGAGGTATGCTAAGATAATATTAATATCTGTCAGAAAATTTAGGAAAACTTCTATTTCAAGCTTTTTTTTTGTTTTTTGTTTTTTTTTGAGACAAGGACTCTCTCTCCATCACTGGGCTAGACTGCAGTGGTATTGTCATAGCTCACAGCAACTTGAAACTCCTGGGCTCAAGCAATCCTCCTGCCTCGGCCTCCCGAGTATCTGGGAGTACAGGTGGGAGCCAACACACCCGGCTGATTTTTCTATTTTTTGTGGAAATGGGGTCTCATTCTTGCTCGGGCTGGTCTCAAACTCCTGACCCCAAGTGATCCTCCTGCCTCAGCCTCCAAAAGTGCTAGGATTACAGGCATGAGCTACCACGCCCAGCACCCTATTTCAAGTTTTGATTGCTCTTTCTTGCTTCCTCTCCCTCACTCTTCCTCTGTTCTCTTCCTTTCCCTAGACCTGGACATGACTCTGCTTGAGCTAAGGCTGAATCAAAAACCCAAGTGATAGACACTGTTCTCTGTTCAGTCTCCTCTCCTTGGTCCCTGGATCTTTGCTACTGACCAAGCTTGCCCTGCTGGTTTAATTATTCCTTCCACATCAGTTCTTGCCCAGAAGTCCCCTTGGTAAGCAAATTCCAGCCAAGAAAATATCCTACCAGTTAGGGAGGCCTGGGGGATATGTCTAGATCCTTGCAATGGGGACATGGTTAATCTGGTTTCTCTTCATTGTGAAAATGCTTGGAATTAAAACTGATGTGATCTTTCCATGATATCTGATTACAAACATCTACTGAATTGCACAGCATTCTATAGTGTACTGTATCTGGTTAGTAATAGGTGCATAGAAAAGGTTATTTTTCCTCTTTCCTAACCATGCCAGGCTGGGTTAACTTCTCTTCCCTCTCTGCTCCCAGAATATCCCTTCTGTAACATTCACCAGACTGCAGGCTAATTATCTGTTTGGCTGTCTTTCTTCTCAGTGTGTGGGCCACAGTCTCCTCAATTCTTTCAACCAACCCTTCATTGCAGTTCCTTATGTATTACTTCCACTTCTTCCTAAGGAGTAGTAAAAACACACTATCTTCTTTATGCCTTATGACTCAGTATTTTTGATGGATTTTTTTCATGTCCAAGGGACTTTTATGCCTGGAGAGAAAATACTCACAGCTGTTTGTTCGTTATTTAATGCCCAATTTACTAAAGTCGTATTTCCAATAAGCAAAACATTGAAACCATCTTTTCTTGAGCATTAAACATGTAATACACATTTGATTTAATTCTCTTAAACACAATTTAAATGGCAATTACAGAATTATTGTGTTCGATATGTTTGAATACTTCAAATGCCTTAAACATCAGCAAAGCGTGCACAAATACGAAGATTACAAAATGCCTATACCATTTCTAAACCAATTCAATGTCATGGGTTAAATGTTTCTGCATTATTTTTGCATTATTTTTATATCTCTGAAGATTATATACCTATATTTACTTTGATATCTTCTTAACGTTTCAGTAATATTGTTTTGATTATTTTCTGGTATATTAGAAACCTTACCAAATCCAATAGAAAAAGAAATATAATTTTAGACCAGTTGAGGTTACAGAATCTGTGATATCAAATAATTTTTCTTAGTTGGGATATAAGAGCTACTTTTGCTGTCTAAGATGATTAAGACAATTAATTCAAAACTTTTATTTTTTATGTTTTACATCATAGGGCTCATAAGTCCCCATCTTTCTTATGGTTTTTAATTGATGAAACTTGGTATTTATCCCAGAAATTATGTAAACTCTTAGATTTGCATGAATGTCAGTTCCTAATCAATTATCTTGCCATCGTATAACACTGATCTGCTTAAAAACATATGGATTTATTCTCAGTATTTTATTACAATTAGAAGGGCCACTTAGTTGTTTTATGTCCCGAGCGACGAAGAATTGATTTGCCCTTCTTATATTTAGAATAGTGTGTTTTGAACTCTATCTTTACTTGCTTATTGTTAATCCCGGTGTTGATTAACTTCTAGACTCCCCTTCTATCTGGTCATGATGATTTTATGCAACCACTAGTGCTGATGGACCGTTCCTATTCTTAGTACTTAAAAAAGAATGCTTTAGCTTATTATAATTTTTTGTTCATTTTTACCTGCTTGCTGAGCCAAATACATAATATAGACATAACATAAATGTAAGTAAATTATATGTGTATATATTTAAATCAACACATCCTTTATAGAAGAGAAAATACTGAAAAATACTTACCTATAAAAACCTCCCACAAATGATCTTTGCCCTCTCCTTTCCCAGCCATTGGCTTAATAGAACTCCACGGACAAAGAGGAGCACAGAGCCACAAGATGGCAGGAATCTGGGTCCCTGAGACACTGCCTGGAGGAGAGCTGCCAAGAAAGCCACCAGACCAGAAGCACCCATGTTAGGCTATTGCGTGAGACAGAAATAAACTAACAGTGTGTAAACCCTCTGTAATTTGGGATATTATTTTTGCATTTATTTTACCCAGATTAAAAGACAGAATGGTACAAGGTTTATTTTAGCATTAGCAGTGACATGGATCAAGCTGTTCTTGCTAACAGATTTTGGAAGTTCCTTGGTTCTGTCTATTGTCTAAACCTTTTATTTTAGCTTCTCATCATTATATAGGCTACCAATATCCTTATTACATATCATCCCTTTTTGGCTTAAAATAACCAGATCTGGTTTCTGTTGCTTATAATCAAGGACTTAGAGTCATTTATTCGATAAGAAATTGAGGCTTTAGGTAGTAAGTGATTTGCCTTGAGGATACAACCCATTAAGTGGATATCTAGGATTGCAAACCTGGCCTTATATCTCCTGCTTCAGCGTTCTTTCCATCATACTACTGGGAGTTCAAAGGGAGCCCAATAATTAACACTCCTTTTCCCCACCCACTTCTAAACCACTTGAGGAATAAGACAGAGGAAGTGGCAAATCAAGGGTATATATCACCTTCTTTATTGGAAAAGGCGAGGTTGGAAGGTGTAGCCTCCTCACCTGGCAGACCTGCCCTTGTGAGACTTAAGGCAGAGAAGAGCAAAGGACAACTAGTGTTCCCTGATGACAACTCACTTATAAGTAGAAGAAAAAGAGGAAGAGGCTGTACTGCAGACAATGAGTTTTTCCTTTCTAAGTTTCCATTTAGAGAAGTCTCTTTCTCAACTGGGGAAGAATGATAGTGTGGACAGAAGTCAGGACTAGTCAATGCTAATGACTAATCCTTTACATAAAACATGGAAAATAAGATGTGTATATCTCTTGATTGATCAATAGATAATATTTTGCCTACTGTAAATACTTTTAAAAAAATTTTAATTAATAAGGGGATACAAATGCTTTTATTACATAGATACCTTGTACAATACTTAAGTCAGGGTTTTGGATGTGTTCATCACCAGAATAGTGTTTCCTGTATTCCACAGGAAAGTTTTCATCCCACACCTACCCTACCTGGTTGGGATCCGCCCTTCTTGGTTTCCAATGTCCTTTACATCTTTTTGTTTCGGTGTGTAGCTTGTTTAGCTCCCACTTATTAGTGGGAACATATCATGTTTGATTTTCCATTCTTGAGATACTCACTTAGGATAATGGCCTCCAGTTCCATCCAAGTTGCTGCAGACAACATCGTTTCATTCCTTTTTATGGCTGACTAGTACCTCATGTTATGTACATACCACATTACGTTTATCCACTTGTGAATTGATGGGCACTTAGGTTGGTTCCACATCTCTGCAATTGTAAAATACTTTATTTTATTTTTGAAGATACATTATTGTGTTAAATTTTGAAACAAAATCTCATTCTACCCATTACAGATAAATGTTGTTAACAGTTTAGTGTGTATCTTTCCTTATCAACACGCTGAAGTTGAGAGTTGTGGTGAGGATTAAAGGATTAATCTGTGTGAAGCACCCAGCATGGTGCCAGGTACAACAGGAACTCATTTCCTTTCTTCCCTTTAGTGCCCCAGAGTCTCCAGTCTGAGAGTCCATGACTTGTGTTGGGCTAGGCTGGTGTGACCATACAGTCCAAGGTATGCCCTGGCTTCTGGGGATGTTGACAGACTTAGGCCTGCCAGGCTGCCAGAGAACAGTAGTTAGGAGCCCAATTCCAGAGCAGGGGTCCATTAGGCTAGAGCTGCTCAGCCAGGCCAGGCTCATGGCCTTTCCCACCCTCTCGCCTAGGTGTCTGGTCCCCTTATGGGGTCCAGAGTTTAGGACTGGCCCCTGGGCTAGCACACTGTCCTGCAAGCTGTGTGAGCTGGGACAGGAGCTCCTAGCACCTTCTGGGCCCCTCCCACATGGCAGGCAAGCACAGAGTTGGGCCCCACAGGACCCCACAAAGGCTGGCTGGTTGGCTGACTGCTGAGTTCACGTGGTGGTGCCTCCCACCCTGCTCCTGCCCCAGACACAGGGATGTCTAAGCCTCTGCTCTGCTCTTTGATTTCTGGGCTCAGCAGGAGAAAAGAGAGCTGGGAGCTGGGACAGAGCAGGAGAGCACGTGGGGAGAGGAGGCTGCATAGATTGTGAGCTCCCTCTGCCTGCCTCTGCCCTCTGACTCTGTTCAGATGTCTTCTTTCCTCCAGGAACTTTTCCTGGAGACCTCTCTTCCTCCGAGGCTAAGTTCATTACTCCCTCCTCTATTCTTGTTAATAGTTACTTTTCCGTGTCTGCCTCCCTGCTAGTGTAAAGGCCAAAATTTATCTCATCCACCTATATGTCTTCAGCGCCCAACAGCAACCCTGGTTCAATATTACTCAGTGACCTGAGGCTCAGTGATCAAGAAAAGGAAAGTTGCAGTCTAGAGCTGAATTGTATAAGTAGGGGTAAGGGCAGCAAAGAGGGAAGGGAAATATCTTCTTGTCGCTGGGCCAGGGTTTGTAACCAGAATCTCCTTGATGGCAGAGTTATCTATTGTGGAAGGAGCTACCAGGGAGGAGTTAACTCCCTATCTTGAAAAACGTGCAAATAGAGACTGAAGACTTCTTTTGGAAGCTGCAGCAGAGAGTCAAGCACTACTCAGGCCTCAGAACATGTAACCCCTAAGGTGCCTTCCAACTCTGAAATCTAAGAATGTGGGAGAACATGAGGCTGGTCCCAGAGAGGCAGAGCACTCAGAAAACTGCCTGTCTCATTGTGGTCAAGGTTGTTTGGAGGACACTGAGGATAATGTCACAGCCTAATTGACTTCTACTCCTTCTACCCCTTCCTTGTACATGCAAACACATGTGTTCACAGCAATTTAAATCACATAAAACTTACACAAATACCTGCATGTATATATTAACACATGTTGCAATGAATGGTTTTTTTTTGTTGTTGCCATATAATCCTTTGTCAAAATAGTTTCCTTTGAACTTCTTAACTAGCTGGTCATTCCACTGCACCACTGTTGATGTCATCTATGACATCATGAGAGTGGCAGCAATCAACAGCCCACTGACTGGGCAGTTAGTTCCTAGGATCTCTTTAATGGTTCCAGAGAGTTGTCTGGTTGAAGTTTGGTGCTGTCCCTTTGGGCAATGTTGAAAATCTCATCAAAAGTGATATTTCCACTGTGTTTAATGTTTTTATGTTTCCTTTCTGTCTCTTGGAGGTCTCTTGAGGGCTTTAATGATCAGGGTGGAGGCAGAAGTTACCGCCTCATTCTGGGCCTGTCTTTTCTGAAAGGTCAGTTTTCACTGTAATCCTTAGATCCTGTCACCCATTGCCTTAGCAATGTTATCACCAGCCTTTTTGGGAGATAGACCCAGAGGGCCAATCTTGGGGGGCAGGGCAGACATGGCACTGAATTTCCCATGGGTGCACCTTAGGTATGCGACTTTGATCTTACTGGGGTTAAATTTTGGCAGTATGGTGGAGGCAGCTGGTGTCAGATGCACCCGGAGGCAGGACAGTGGAAGAAAGTTGCACCTTGGCCTCCTCTGAGCCAAAAATTGAAAGGCTTGAATATTTAACTTCATACAATCTTCACAGATAAACATGTTAAGACTTATACTCATCATTAAACACTCACTTGCTTAAATTTATACATACCCCCTCACCTTCCTTAAAACTTCATCCATTGCCCCCAGTCCTGGTGAGCTATGGAGCCAATTCCTCTTGGAATTGGCCAGGCAATCTGAGAGGGGAACAAGGGGAGAAGGCCTGCCTATGATGGACGGGATTAATCTACTAAGTGAGAAACAAAATAATTAAATTCCTAATCGCTCCCTAAACCAGCAAGGCTGATATAGCCAAGGGAGGGAGGGGGCAGCTCTGAGGCCCAGACCAGTAATCTAGAGATGGGGAGGGCCTTGGGAAGACAGGCACAGACAGAACCCTTTAGACCAGGAAGGAACACCAGTAAGCAGACAGACAGACAGACATATAGACAGACATGCTTCACCAGTGCCACAGGATCTTTCTTTCCAAGTGGAAATGGAGCAGCTTCAGAAAAAATCCCACCCCACCTCTCACTAAAACAGGATGAGAGGAGGGTCTGGGCCCTCTTCCACACCCCCCTCCCCTGAGACCTTCCTGCTCCCCCATGGGACGCATCCTGGGAGTGTATGGGGATGGTGCTGACTTTCATAAGGCATAGGATCAACATTCCTCCTGGGGGCCCCAACTCCCAGTCATAACAAACACATTTTCTGGTTTGGGGCAGGATGGCAGGAAGTGACTTCTCCACACAGATCCTCTGGCTCCCTTCAGAAAGTGAAAGGGTTAAAGGGAGTAGAACTGTCTTCCTGGGTGGGTGTGGTGGCTCACAGCTGTAATCCCAGCACTTTGGGAGGCTGAGGTGGGAGGATCACTTGAGCCCAGAAGTTCAAGACCAACCTGGGCAATATAGCAAGACCCCCATCTCTAGAAAAAAAAGTTAGCTGGGCATGGTACCTTGCAACTATAGTCCCAGCTACTTGGGAGGCTGAGTCAGGAGAATCACTTGAGCCGAGGGGTTGGAGGCTTCAGTGAGCCATGATGGTGCCACTGCTCTCCAGCGTGTGCAACAGAGCGAGATTCTGTCTCTAAAAAGAAAAAAAAAAGTCTTTCTCCAAAAATTCAACTAAAATGACATTAAAGGAATTTTAGAAAATGATACAAAAATCAAAATATCTGGGAAAAGAGATATTAAAGAAGGGAAGACTGAAAACTTACAGAAGGAGAAAAACTACTGTGTACCTGCAGAGGTCGATTTCCTTAGAAGGAAGTCACTCCACTCCCCAGGTCTCCAAAAAGGCTCAAGATGGAGAGGTACCAGGCATCTCAAATGGTGGGTGGTGTCAAAGGGATGAAAACACAGAAATTGATAGAAACTCTAAATCTGGGATAGTTAGATCCCCTAGAAGTCCCCTAGCATCCATTACAGGCAGGCAACTATCCACCCCTGACTCTGTCATCTCAGAGAAATTGAACCAAAGCAGTTCAGGTTTGAGGATATCTGGCACAATGGAGAGTAGAAGTGGTGCATGGGGATGAAACAGGGAATGAAAATAGTGACAGTCTGCAAATGGTAAGACTTGTACCTGTCTTCCCTATGTTGTCCCAGGTCACTGGTCATAGGTAAGAACTGAAAGAATTCTTTTCTTGAGAAACTGAATGACCCTAGAGAAAAGATCTTTAGATGGGCCATTTGGAGACCCCTCAATGAAAAAATCCAGTGGAGTCCACTTCTCCATGTGCTTCACTAAAAAATGAATTGAGTACCAAGGATTGCAGACATTTGAGGAAACTTTTAAGGTGAAAGGGAAGACCAAAGCTAATAAGCAGAAAAAAGGAACCTGGAGTAAATAGAGACAATACAGGAAACAGGAAAATTATTTAAAAGCTCACTGACTTTCATTAATATACCTAAAGAGTCAAGACAATTTATTACATTTATAAAACAAGAAACAATGCTATGAAAAAATGGAACAATCAGAGAGTAAGAAAATCTCTTGGAAATTAAAAATACAGTATCTGACATTAGAAATTTAATAGAAGTGTTGGAAAAATAAAGTTGAGGAAATCATTGGGAAAGTAGAACAAAAAGATACAGTATGATAGTTGAGTCTTCTCTTCCAAGGGACAGAAATGAGGAAGCCTGAATTATGAAGACACATATCCTTATCAAAATCCCAGCTAGCTTATTTGCAAAAATGGATAAGCTGATCCTAAAGTTCATGTGGAAGTGGAAGTGATCCAGAATAATCAAAACAATCTTGAAATAATAATAACAAAAGAACAAAGATGGAGGACTTATACTTTCTGATTTCAAAACTTTTTACAAAGCTACAGTAATCAAGATAACATGGCATTGACATAGGACAGACATATAGATCAATGGAATAGAACTGAGAGTCCATAAGTAAACTTGCACATTTACAGTCAATTCATTTTGACGAGGATGCCAAAACAATTAAATTGGGGAAAGAATAGATTTTTTTCAACAAATGGTGATAGAACAACTGGATATCCACATACAAAATAATCAAGTAGGACCTCTATCTGACACCATATGCAAAAATCAAATCAAAATGGATCAAAGATTGAAATGTAAGAGATAAAACTATAAAAATATTAGAAGAGGGCGGGTGTGGTGGCTCATGCCTGTAATCCTAGCACTCTGGGAGGCCGAGGCAGGCAGATTGCTCGAGGTCAGGAGTTTGAAACCAGCCTGAGCAAGAGCGAGACCCCCGTCTCTACTATAAATAGAAAGAAATTAATTGGCCAACTAATATACATAGAAAAACTTAGCCGGGCATTGTGGCGCA